AGTACATTTATATACACGTTTAAGCCAGAATGATTTGACATTTAAATATAATTTCCCTACGACTTTAATAGACATTAGCAGAGCATGGCCATCATAAACGACAGAAAATGGACAACAGATCTTAAATATTACATCAGGCTCTCTGATCCTACCTAGACTTAAGTAAAAATAATAAAGAATATGTTTGCAACATAAAACTATTTGTTACATGTACAGTTATGGTACAACGCAAACAATAAATACAAATATAAAGAGGTAAATATTAGTGAGACTACATCCACTTGTACTTAGAGACCTTTTTTTTTTATTTTTTTACTTTTTACTAAACAAAAGGGTTGTATTTAACTCTTTATGATTAAAACATCGTTTATTGAGCAGACTTTAAGCCAGTAGCCTATTTTCCCTAAATGTACTTCGGCTGGGATGTTCCAGCTTTGTTTCTGCAGACGTGATGTCAAGCGTGTCCATGTTAAACTGGTCCAGCCTAGCTAACAATCAAAGCGTTATATTCACCTTGGATTTAATGCATATTCAGAAACAACTGGCATCCAGACATAAATAGCAGGTCCAGGTAAAGTGAAAAAAGTAAAGAAAAAAAAAACTAAGTATGAGCACCAGCAGAAGAGTGTTGCACTTCTGTGTTTTGGCCACAGGTGGCAGTATTATTAGAAACAAGGCCTCTTTAACCTCCGTTATGTTAGTAGAAACTTATACTTAGTTTGCTCTACTCACCTTTGATCATGTAAACAAAATGTTAAAATTTAATAAAATTACATATAAATCAACTAAAGATAATAAAACAGGCTCTAAATAAATAAGAAAATATTTCTAATTTCTTACAACATAAGTATAAAATGGGGTACAACCTCTCATTTGGTACGTTTTTTTACCTGTCTTTGTATATTTTGTAAACCAATTACCAAAAGTATGCTGTTTTCCACAGATCTGGCTTTATTTTGAATTAATTATCGGATCCTCTAACGACCCAACTTTCTTTGTCTTCCACTGGTAGAACTCTCCTATCTCTATGGCTCTGGCCACACCTTTTATTTATTTTTTTAGACTCTTGCTAAGTTTTTAAACCTGGTCTAAATGAAACTTTCAATCATATATTTACTGACGGCGTTTGGAAAACTGTAGAGGAAACTTTTTAAAAGATGAGGTTGATTATATTTAAATAAAAAATAAGTAACAGAAAAAGTTATTTTGTTTTGCTTGTAAAATTATGTGAATAATATCTGTGATAGTTTGCACGAAGGGAGCCAGATATTTAAACAAGGCACAGTGGATTCTTATATTTGGCAAGTTTTATTTAAATATAATTTTCTAATATAATTTTTATTTTAAATTTAAGTATGTAAAATTAAGTTTCATAACTCAAAACCTATATACCGGTAACCTGATAAAAATGTTGGTTTGCTTTTTTTATATCCACTTTTTAAAAAAATCTTCTTTTTCTTTTACATGAATGTAAACCGATCAAATAATTAAGAACAAAAAGGAAAAATTATTTGCTTTTTTTTAAATAAAAGTTTGTTTTGTATCTTATATCATTAAAGGTTTGAGCATAAAGGTTCCTGAAAGCAGGCGGAGAGCAGGATCCCTGCGAGCGAAACACCCAGACAGACTGGTTCTGGCTGTGGAGGGGAGAGGCAGGAAAGGGTTAAAGCAGGAATGGAGAGAATGG